GAGCAATTTGAGAAAGTAAAAATATTTTTAAAACAATACAAAAGCTCCCATAAACAAAAATATCTAAGCAGTTTGTTCTCAATAAAGATCCTGCCCAGCTAGCAGCCTTGAAAGAGACACCAAGAACAGAATCTTCAGGGGCTCTCATCCCCCTAAAGTCCCAATGACTGCAGCTTGTTCTGCTAACATAATATACTTTTTCATGAGAACAATATGGGGGCTGAGATGGTCTCTGACCACTAATATGTCATGAGTTCAGTCCCTACTCTTCCCACCTCTTGGCCACGCGTGACAAAGCATCCTGGGGACATCCTACAGATTCCAGAATTATCCTTCCCTTCTAAAAAATCTCACATTTTTGGCCAGTTCACTCTCAAATAAGAATTCCAGTGAGATGGTTCAAGAGTTGGGCCATGTTGAAAGCACACAACTCTAAGCCTAATGATGGCCTATGTTCAATCTCTAGAAGGCACACGGTCAAAGGAGAGTTGACTCCCACGTGGTATCCTTTGACTTCCACATGTACTGCCACATGGCACACATATGTCCATACACACATGGACAGCATAAGGAAATGAATGTAAAAATAATTCAACTCCAGAGGACACAAAGAGACCACCGTTAGACTAACGTGGAACCTCTGCTTGTTGGGTCCCAGCCCCCACAGGGTCTCTGCAAGCTGCTTGTCAGCCAATAACCACAGGTGCATCCTGTGTTCCAGTCCTCGCTTAGAGCCCAGGCCTCTCCCCACTACACCTGGGAAAACACCAGCTCTTCCACCTGGGGATTTTCCACTGTGCTGTAAGTGTACCTAAGGCTGCTCTCTACCTGGAATAAGACAGATGAATAAAGATGGATAGACGCACATAGCCAGACCTCTCAGCTTTTAACTAAATCTCTAGGCTTTCACCTGATACTCAGACTCCGTCATGGCGCGGGCGCCACATCTGCTCTTCCTGTTTCCTATGGGCTGTTTATTCAAGAACTCTGTCTTCTGAGCTGAAGAGCTGTTATCAGCTCATTCAAAATAGCAACCTTGAGATCCAGCTTGTTAATGTAGGACAAGGAAGGTCATCAGACCTCACCTGAGATCTCAACTGCTCCCTCCCACGAGTACAGCTGAGGGGTGTGCACATACACATTGCCAGCTCTATGTAACTTGGCCTCAGCTGCATGTGGTCTGGTGGTCTCAGGAGGCGTTGGAAAGCACAGAATGTGGAAGGTGAACTAAAGGGAAGCTTCAATCTACACAGCTGTTGGGAAGCAGTCATCTGTGCTGGGGAGAGACTCTTAGGTGGTGCCGCTCCTTTGCAATGCCCCGTGTCCTGTAAGTGGCCCCTCACCTGTGCTGTGTAAGGAAATTCCAGTTGTACTGTAGTTACTCTGAGCTGTCACTGCGGGCCCTCTCTGGATGGTTTACGTCTTCCCAGCAACAGTTTATGTAACAGCATTGCAGGGGACCCCCGAGTCTTTTTTCCATGGCTACAACTTTCTTGGTGTCTACCAACAATGGATCTTGCCTCCTCCCTTTATTCTCCAAGAACAGCTGATAACAAAGCTTTAAGATAACAGTGTTTGTGAGAGGAAATAAATAAACTCTGAGTTGAGAACGGGAGACAGCTTGTCTGTATTCCTAGTTCACAAAGGGGTCCTCTCTGGCCCCTTCTCCTGCAGTCTCTGACATGTACCCTTAGCTAGATAGGATCCGAGACTAAGGAGAGGGCTCAGTGGGTGAGAGTGCTTGCTGTGCCAACATGAGGACCTAAGTTCAAACCCCAGCACTCATGTAAAAAGTTGGGCGCGCATGCTCACGCATGCACAGTGTGCCTGACCGACATGTTCTCCACTACCATTCTCCCCTTGACTGTAACACCCCTGCAGCATCGCTTCCTGAAGTTAGCCTGTCTATCATTAGGTAAAACATCTAGACTGCAGCATTTGCTGGCCCGTGTGTCACTGATAATGTACCTCCCTAACCGTGAGTGCAGATCCCAGTCTGCGTCTGGTCACAGGACCTGCCAAGTGAAGCAGCCCCGCCCCTGTGCCCACCTCATCCTCCAATGCAGAGTCTCAGAAACACTCACATCCAGGTGGCTTTCTCTTAGGCTTCCCCCTTCCCTGACCATCCTGCCATCGACAGGGGAACATGCCTACTCAGAGCAGTGACGTGACAGGTCTCCTCAAAGCAGAGATTTCAATTTCTAGTCTACAATGCAGAAAATGCTAAAAGTTTGTTTCTTTAAAAAAAAAATCTTTAATAAAGTCTCACCTCCTCATCTTGAAGGTGTGAGATGTGAATTCCAGAGCTCATGGACTTATGGGCAGCTTGGAAATAGAAGGGACTGCTGTCCAGAAAGTGGTCTATGCCCCATGTGTCTTCATCCTCCTGACTCAGAATGTCAATGGTCTGGCACCTGGGTACCCTGAGCCACTGCTTATAGGCTGACAAATATGCAGCTAGCCAGCACATAGAATTTCACACACTCTCAAAAACGTGGGTTTTTTATGGATGAGGGAACATAATTGATGATATATTTTGTCCATGCGGTTCACACCAGAGAGCCAGAGCAGTGAGCAAGAGGTGGGTGAGTTCACTATGAGAGTCACTAAACACTTTAAGGTGGGGGAGCTGTTTGTTAATCAAAGAATTCCCTGTTTGCTTATTAAACATCAGTTTGGTCCAAGAGTTGGAATCATTAAGGAGTCCACTAAAACATGACAGTGTTAAAGCTAAAGGGGGTGCTCTTGTTGAGGCCTGGTGCTTAGGATCTGCCTGGAAGGATGCCCTGATACAGACATGAGTTAAGAGACTGGAAGGGGTATTGGGAACCCAACTTAACTCCCAGATGTCGGACTGACAGAGAAAGGAACCACAGGTACTGGCTTCTTGCTAGTCATGATGTGCAGATATGAGGGCTTGTCTGACTGCAAGCATCCAGGATCACCAGGCACAATACACAGGCTGGTGAGAAAGGGCAGAGGAAACTCCAACAAAGAAATATGCCCAGGCGCTAGTACCCAAGAAGCTGAAGGAGGCTGCAAGTTTGGGTTGCTGAAGAAGGGATACAGGACAAACACCAAAGTGTTACATTGTGTCTGTTTCCTTCCGCAGGAGAAAGGCCCTGGAGCAAGCAGCCTAAGATCTCTCAAACACTTTAAGGGCTCCATCTTGCTGATGCATGCTGTCCATGTCCTCCGTGTTTTCCAGGCATTTCTAGAGCCATAGGAGAAACCATCTCTAGCTTTTTTGGATGACTTCATCTCTCCATAGAGTAAAGTCCACATGAACAATTTCAGATCTTCCATCGGAATCACTCCTTCATTCGTACAGTGGAGACCAGTGGACTTAACATGTTTTTGAATATTCATCTGAAATCAGTTAGAATGGAAATTTCAATTTTTCTGGCAATTATAAATCATAAGGTTTTTTTTTAATAGTCTGATCAGTTATGCTATAAATTGAAGATTTTTAAATAGTAAGGAACAAAGTTGACACATGTGATGGTCAGGGTCAGTTGTCAACTTGACAAAATCGAGAATTACCTAGGAGATGGGTCTCTGAGCATGGCTGGAAGGAGTGTTCTTAATTGAGTTCACTGAGATGGGAAGACACACCCTGGATGAGGGAGGACACGCCTCACGTTTTATGTGCTAGCCCAGGGCTGGATAAAGGAAAGGGGACTGAGCAGTAACCGTATAGCCATTCAGTGCTCTTCTATTCTGACTGCAGACAGAATGTGCTCGGCTCCCTCAAGTTCCTCACCCTGGTGGACTATCACCTGGAACTGTGAACTAAGTAAGTTCATGGTTGCTTTTGTTGAGTTGCTTTTGTCTGAGTTTTTAATCAAAGCAACAAGAACAGACTCTAAATCAGAAATTAGTGCTGAGAAGTGAGGTCACTGCTGTGATGAACCCCACCAGGTCTTTGGAAGTGTTTTGAAGCTAGAATGTAGGAGTTGGGAATTTGGAGTTAGAAAATGCCCCGGATGGTGGAAGCAGAGCTTAAAGACCACTTGGTGGGATCGTAGAAGAAGAGAATGCTGAAGAAAATATCCAGCTCCTGGGGTTTCAGAGGGAAACAAGGACTCCATCAGGAACTGAGCTGAGGACCATTTGTGTGATATTTGAGACAAGGATCTGGCTTCATCTTGCTCATGTCCTGAGAACCTGAGTGAAGCTCAATTGAAAGACTGTGAACTGGTTTGTTTGACAGAGAGCACGTTAGGACAGGGGAGTGCCCAGGGTGCCAAGAAGGCAGCTGAGGTCATTAAAGAAACAATATATAATATAAAATTAGTTCTTTTAATCTTTAAGTATATGGATGTATGTGTCTGTGTGTCTGTGTGTGGGTATGTGCTGGTGCCTACAGAAGCCAGAGGACAACACTAGAGTTAAAAGTTGCTGGGAACCAAACTGATACAAGGATAGCAAGTGTGCTTAACCACTGAGCCACCTCTCCAGCCAGAGTAAGGTACAGCTGGCCCTAAGTGGTGAGCAACAGCTTTCCTTGGTGTCCTCTCCACCCTCCCCTCCCCCAAACGACACCGTGGGTCTGAAAGGGCAGGACTGAGAGAAGCTGAAGAATGTAGAAACATCTGAGAACACCAGAAAGAGCTCCTGGGGAGAGGTCTTCATTTCTAGAACTATTCCAAAGGAGTTTCCAGAATGTTTCTGATAAATTCCCCAGTGCCACAAAATAAATTTAGCCTAAGAAACCAACAGAGGAATTAGGTTAAACAAATAAATGAAATGGCCCCAGCAGTGCCTGGCACACACAAGATTCACAGAAGATATCAGTTCCTCCCCTGCTGAGGGTGTAAGGACCGATATCAGCTATAGCGGACAGATGTCAGGGGAGGTTATTAAACACATTCCGGTTTCCCAGAAACTCACAGTCTTCTTAAACAGGGCCACGAGTGAGAAGGGCAAGGAGGAGGAAAGGTGCGTCTTTGCCCTGCAGCTGTCGGTGGCTCTTCCTGCTCTCGGCATTTGCAGCATCTTCAAGCAGATATAGGTTTGGGTCTTATGCTATCCACTACTGCTGAGAGGACAGCACCTGCAGCCTTCGCTCCCTCCGCCAGGGCATGCTCCACCTGCAAAGCACAGTGGTTCACTGGACAGTGGGTACCAATTTCAGGCTGGCACCCTCCTTGCTTCCCACCCCTCCCATCCCCTTCAGGACCCATCCACCACCACTTGTGCTGTCCCACATCTCCAAAATCCCTACAGTTTCCAGCAAAGGGGGCATCTGAAGACAGGCACCCAAGGCAGGGCAGGCTCCTTTCCCCAAGCCAGGGAACCTCGTAGCCTTTTTCTTTCCCACGAGCCATTCAGCATAGGATCTGCCTCCAGAGTAGTACATGATCTCTACATGCGACGGCTGAAGCCACTGAGGCCCTCATTCAACCAAAAGGGACTCTGGAAGCCAGGGAGGGAAGCTCACATGGGCACAGATGTACATGAATGTACTTAGTTCAATCTCATGACTCCCGGGCCATGGGTCTTCAGAGGACCTCTTACCATGCCCTCCACTTGGGGGTCTTCATTCACTTGCAAATGCTCATGGGATGGAGATCCTTCATACTGGAGCCCACCAAGCTTCTAGCACAGAGCCTCACAAGAGCAGAGCACAGCAAGCCGAAGACACCGAGTGGAGAGGAGGATTCGGGGTACGCTCTGAGGGGTAACTAACAATGGGGAGATTGACCCTACTCTGGGCAGAGAAGATAAAGACGCAAAGCCAGAAAATGATGTCCCACCTTTAATCCTTTGTTTTTGTCTTTTTTTTTTTTAAACTATATGAAAGGAGTTGCACCTTCCCTCTGCTCATGACATTTTGTTTTGTTTTGTTTTGTTTTTTAATAAGGGTCAACTATTAATGAGAACAGCTTAAATTGTTACAGATATTTTAGGCTCCAGGGCTCTTTCATGTGTGTTGTGTGTTGTATGTTATCACCGGCCTGAATGAACTAGGCAGATATGATATGACGAGAACTGGAAGGTGGTATATATCTATGCCCAGCAATCAATCTGAACTAGGCAGATGATATGACGAGAACTGGAAGGTGGTATATATCTATGCCCAGCAATCAAAGACGACCTGACAAAACCCAGCAAAGCACGGTGAGGAGCCCCTGAGGGCACTCGGGAACACACCTGCTGACTCCTGTGCACGCCGTATCTAAGGTCATTGACAAAGTGCTCACAGTTGCCCTCGATCAGGCTATACTGCACTATCTTGTTGATCATGTTTTTTGTGCGCTGCATGATCTGGTCCACGGGGAGGGGCAGGTATATCCCGTCCAGCTTGTTGTTGATCTTCCAAGAGCAGCCATGCAGCACATCCTCCAGCCGGCTGTATTTCACCACAGCACGGTTGCTGAAGATGGAAGTGATGCTGCCCACCTCAAATTCCTCACCTGGGGAACAAGAACAAAAGTTGCAAAGCCTCAAGGCGTAAGGGATCAGGATACCCTGGCTCTCCCTAAGACCATTGTAACCTACTCCCTGTGAAGTTCTCAATCAAACCATCAGTCTGGGGCCTGGCAGAGAATA